GGCCCCGGCGCCTCGGTGGGGCCCGGGCGGGCAGCGCCCGGGTTCAGCGGCCGCCTGCGGAGGCAGCAGGGCCTAGCGCAGCCGCCGAGCGGACGCGAAAGCGGGCGTCGACCCGCGGAGTGGGCCGGTGACACCCACCCTTCCGTGGGCATCCCCGCGCCGCCCCGACCCGCCGCCAGACCCCAGGCCGGGCGTTCGCTCCCTCGGCTCTGCCGGGAGAGCGTGCCGCCGAGCGCGGCGAGGGCCGTGGGTTGGCGGGCAGAGGCCGTTCCCCCTCCGCTGGTTCTCGGTAACCAGAAGCAACGCCTCAAACCCGCTTCAGTGTTGTTATCAATTCACCGTCATCCCGAGGTTTGTTTATTTTCTCTCCGGTAGATCAGAGGGGCTAGAAGCGAGAGCAAACCGAAGCGTGTAAATAGTATCAGACCTTTAAAGGGGGTAAGGACCTTGACAGCAGTCTAAAACAGAGCCTTACCGAGCTACGTAGGTGCTGGCCTTGCATTTGAGGTGGGCACACACCTAAGCCTGACGCCGGACCAAAACTGGGTAAGGGATTAATCTCTGATCTGAATTTTAACTCCCCATGGGTAGAGAAAGGTATGCACAAGCCCTGCATTCACACGCAGGACCACAAAGCCCGCTGCCACCTGTCTGGGAGGCTTTATTAACATTGCTTTTCGCTAGGGCATGTATCAGCTCTATTTGTCAGCCTGTGATTACTGCCTTCTCACTGTTTCTTTCCTTTATAAAATTAGCTGAACTCGGTGAATATTAGATCTGCGCTTTTGCCACGGTATCCGCTAGTATCAAGTCCTGTTTAGCATCAGTAGGATGCAGGAATGGGAAAACAAGGCTGGAGATAGGAAAATGAATTTTAGTAGATAGATGGCATTCCCCCAGGTTTTATAAAAATGGGCTGATGTATATCAGGAATCAGTGCTGACATCAGAGGAACGACTATGTGGTGAGCTCGGCTATTCCTTGTCGCCTCTTCCCCATCCCATAGCTGGGAGTCGTGGCAGGTGGTTGGGAGAACTGGATGGCAATTGCAGGGATTTACTGGGCAAATTAAAGTGTCAAAGGAACAGGAAGGTCACAGGGAAAATGAGAGTATTGAAGAGTGAGAGGAAGGAGCACAGCATATAAATCTATCAAAACTGAGTTTCATTACTTCATTGTTCATAGAACAATTTGTTTCACTCTCTTAATTGGGCAAGATGGGGAAGACAGTGGTAACAACTCAGCAAGATCCTTTCTGAAGTAACAAGCCTGGTCAGAACTAAGTTTTGTTTCTCCCTCCCAAATATTCCTTTCTCATCAGTCGTTACTGTCCAGCCCTAAAGATTAGGAGTCAGATGGTTGCAAGCATAGGCTCCTATCTTCGGTTCCCCAATGCTGTGTTTTCCCAGGGGGGTGCTGACGCAGGAGAGAAATACCACAGATTGGTCAACACTTGCACAAAAAAAAAAAATACCGAGGAGTACAGTGAAAAAAAAGCAGAAGTGGTACGTGTCTGGCAGAGAGGAGGCTCCCGGTCTCAGCAGCAGCAGCTGCTGCAAGGTTCGGATGCCAACCTGAGCCTTGCAGAAAGATATTTCCCCCTGTGGAGATGCAAGACACTTCAGCTGGTCTGGGTCTGAACACAGAGAGAAGAACATACATGGCATTTCAGACTTGCATGAGCGCCCATTTAACACTGTGATCTACCAGAACTCAAAATCTTAATGGAAAAAAGAATGGAATTAAAAGGCAAAAAATTGGAATTTAAAGACTATTCAAGCACCTAGTACTGAACAAATAGCTTCTAGATATCCTTAAAGCTAACAGAAGCAGGCCTGGGTGGGATTAAAAGAAACACAAAAGCATGAGTAATTGGAATAAGTAAACACTATTTCCTTTTCCCTGATACTTGCTTTAGTCGGATTTATGCATATAGAAATCAAGTGACGTGAGATTCTATCCTCCGCTCACTCATTCCACCCTCACACTTCAGCACATGGAGTTCACTAATCTTATCTGGGAACTTCTTCTAAAATAAAACAAGCGAAACCAAGAGAATACCAGAAATGACAAATAATTAATTTCTCCACAGAGTGTGATAGTGTAAGAGTTTGGACTGGAAGCTGAACCTACCAGCAAGATTTCCAAGGAAAGTTCTTGTCTCCAGGCTGTACAATTGCACTTGAAGAGAAAGTGAAAGAGGCTGCACGCAGCTCCTAAAGAAGGGGCAAGTGGTTGGGAATATCCCCTCCCCCCCCCCCAACAAAATGCATTTGGCAAAATTATGCTTAATTCTGGATTACTCTTTCTCTCTTTTGCTGGAAATGAATCTTACCTCACTTGGTCTGATGAAAAAGTGAAGACTAACAATGCCTTGAAAATACTACCCACGCATTTATTTTGCACAGACTGCTTTGCGCTGCAAGAGGATGTCTCACCGGCAGATTGCAAAGCTGCCCCGAACTGAGCAAGGGTTACAAAGGAGTCACTTTCTGCTGAAATAAAGTCCTTTTTTAAATACAACAGCTAGATAATAACCGCAAGACGCGTGGTAGTTTAGTACAGGAAATAAGCTCATACTTTAGTGGAAGTGCAGGGGGGACATTAGGTAAACAGATGAGTGGGGCTGTGTCTTGGCTGAAATACTGTATTCTAGAGGTATGCTGACAACAAGCACTGGTGGATTTTTCACTGTCCCTTCACATGGTTCACAGCCACTTCTTCCCCATCTCGCCAAAAACACCGCTCCTCCGCCAGAGCCGTGTTTTCAGCGCGAGGTCTGTGCGAGAGATGTCGATCCTGCTGCCCACAGAGCCACTTCCTACAGCAGGCGGCCGTGCTTGCATAGCTTCTGCCGGCCAAACAGATTGCAACAGAGCTGACCTGGACTGTACATGTGGTCCTGGTAAGAAACATCAATTGGTGAAACCAGTAATTTGCTGGACGGGTGAGAGCATCTGCAGCGGTGCTTCTGTGGGCAGGAGGGCCTGTCCTGCTCATTCTGTGTACTGCAGACATTGTCACAGCAGTGTGGAAGTTGTAGCCATGTTGGAGTTCTTTTTTTCTCGCCGTTTCACAGCAGAAGGGTTGCTGTATCGTGCCCTCTTAAAATAGCTCAGGGCTTTTAATCCTTCGTTAAATTCACAGAAGTTCTGTGCTGTCTTTTTTGTTCTTGTTAAGTACAGGAAAATCTAAACTAGCCTTGTCTGTTGTAGCTGTAAAACTCAACGGTGCTATCCTGCTTTCTTTCCTAGCTACTGCCTTGTCACTTAGGCATCAGGTCCCACAATGATTAATATTTCACTTGGCTCTGACTGATGCAAACTCTTTGACACTACTCTCATCCCTGGCAACCAGGTACATCTGGGGTTTTCCAGGATGAAAACAAAGGGACAGTGTCGAAAGCCAACCTACACTCTCTGGAGATAATATGGTACATTTCGAAAATTACTCTGAGGTTAATTCATGGCAGTCATATATTTTCTGGATCACCTTTTCTACAAATAGAACCATAGCTCTAAATTTTGGGAGGTCTGTTTTTTGTTAAAAAGCTATGAGGACTGTAAAGGTGAGAAGCTCATTTCAATAGTGCCTTTCTTCCTCAGAGTCCTTGGATTTTATTTTTTTGTTGGTGATCATTAAAGAAACTCATTACAGAATATGGAGGAAAGGTTCATTTTTGGACTGAGAGGAGGTGAAGGGGTGAGAAGCAAATGAAGGGCTTTCATGGTGGAGAGGAGGCAGCAGTGGGTGTTTGCAGAGACTGTTTTTATTCAACATCATTCACAACCTGCAGAAGGAAATGTGCACAAAGTCTCCAGGACTGTGGATGCTCCTGACCTCCTTAGGG